GAATTTTACACCCCGGTTCAGTTAAGCGTGAGACGACACAACTCGACCGAGCCTCCTAATTAAGCTACAAAGACCGTCTTCCATCTTGCAATAGAAAAGTATAGGCGAACGCGTGCAGTAATTAATTGTTTCTGTTATACTGGCTTATGCTTCTTCCCTACTGTTTGCTTCACCCTTGCTCATCCCAGTTCTTCGTGCTTTCTTATCCATTTAGCTGCTTCACTATTGCCCGAATGTGAAATTGTTGTAGACGAGCATACGCTGGCCTCTATGTCTCCTTTCGATTCCACGGCCTAAAATTTTAATGTATTCCATACATAAATATAGCGTAGAACATATTACCGGCAGACAGAGACTTCCACGAAGGCCTTTTCTGTGTCATTAGGCGTCATCAGGTGGAGATATTCTACTCCAGTGTTGCAGCGGAAATTACCGCCACACTCGGGTTTCGAACCCACTTCCCTCTGGTCAGAGGCAAACGCCTTAACCATTGAGCTATTGGGCCCGACGTCTAATCGGTGTACGCCTATCTACCACAACATATAACTGCATTATGTTCAAAACCCTCCAAATCTTTCTACATTTCTGGTAGTTAATAAATCAGAGTAAAATATATATATAGTAGAAAGGGCGTTAAGCGATCGGGTTATTAGACATGATTATCTCGTGGTGAATCGGGGTTCACTCTTGAGTCGTCACACAGGCAATTTAGTAGCGACCACTGACACACAGGAAGGCAGTGCCAAAAACGTGGGGACTGGAATTATCATTTTTGGTTTACTAACTATTTTCAGACGGCTGTAGCGAATCTCGTATCCGTACGACCTGGCATTCAAACTCCGGTTCATTGTTTCATTACGCCTTATGTACCGTATTTAAATCACCGGGATCTCCAAATGTGAGGTTGAATATTGCTGTTAAACAATCGCTAATAATCCGGACGTTGCCATTGCGGTCTCCGTTGTTTCGGTCGACATTCTCTTCCTAATTATTTGTGGTT